GTAGAATCTTTTTAAATATCAAAAATTACTTAGAAATGATTACTATGATTTCTATTTAAGTGTTCTATTACGATAAAAATGCAAAAAATAATGAGTTTTTCTGATAAATGTACTNATGCAAAAAAATAATGAGCTTTTCTGATAAATTTACAATAAATAGTAATTATAAAACTTTCTGACTGCATATTAATCTTAAAAATAACATTGTTTTAATTCTCATAAAATTTTCTATTTAATGATTCAATCTAGTCAACGAAGGAGTAATTTTGGCGAATAGCAGAAAAAATTCCCAACCCAATTTTTTTTTTTTTTAAAGTAGGAAATTGGTGGATTTTTCTAAAAGCAATGAAATTGCTATGAAAAGTATGAAATTGATATTCAATAATTTAATATTGTAATTTAAACGGAGAAATTATAAAAATAATAAAGAAGTTATATTTTGCTTTACTTTTACGTGTATAAAAATTTAAAGGGCTTGATACAATAATTTTCAATAAAAACTGTTTGTTACTATAAAAAAATGCACTGGACTACAAGGAACTTTCATCAGAAGCAAAAATATACTTTTCTAAATCAAATTTTCGCGTTGTTTTCAAATCTGCAAGTAGACTATTTCTATCACTTCTAATTTTTTATATTATTACTAATTATATATATAAAATAATAATTAAAAGAAAAAAAAATTTGTTTTCAAATTATTACTGATTTGATTTTTAATATGTTAAAAATAATCAGTCCAAATTTTCAATTTTAAACTATTTTTTTTGTTCTTTATAGTTGATGAAAAATTTTTGATAAAGATTTATGAAAGTTTATAGTAAAATAAATTGAATATATTACCATACCTTTTAGCTCAATTACAAATTTAAAATTGACATCTAGGCCAGTCAACAAAGGAAAAATTGCGGAAAACATTCCCAACCAAATTTTGTTCTTTTAAAAGTTGAATTAAAATATGTATAATGACATACTAATAGTCCTCATTGATTGGAATTGAGCTTTTTTTTTTACAGCCTCGCAAAAGTTCAAAAATATGAGCTTTTTTAATTTTCTCAAAAAACATTTAACTTACAAAAAAAAGTTTCGTACAAAAGTTGTTTAAAAGACAATTATAAACAAAAAATTATTTCATATTTTTTCATTTAAACAAATATTTTTCGAGTTACATTACATTTAATATGAGTAATAAAATTTATATTCCATTTTTTTCATTTTACGGTTACTTTTTATCATGTCATACATTAGACACAATGTTATAAATGCATATGTGTGTATGTGCGAGTTTATTTTTTTTATAGTATCATTTAAGTGTACTGTATATTAAGATACAACCGATAGAGTAGGTAATTGATTTGACACTATATTGTTTAAACCCAACTAAACGCTAAATTGTACATTCCCAAACAACAATCATATTATGTCAATTGCCACCGGAAATTCTGGTAATCTTTTTCTTTTTCTTTGCCTTAATCCCAACTACTTGGGGTCAGCCACCCTTATCCTATACTTCCACTTAATTCCATCTCCCACATCTTCTACGCTCACATCAACTGTACTCAAATCGCATTCAATAGCATCCCTCCATCTCTTTTTTGGTCTTCTTCTATCTCTTCTTGCTTCAACATTCATTTCTATAACTGTTCTTACAGCTTCCGATTCTTCTCTCCTCATAACATGACTAAACAATCTAAGTCTATTTTCTGTCATCTTATCCACGATTGACGCAACACCTATACTTCCTCTTATATGCTCGTTCCTTATCCTATCTTCTCTAGTCACTCCACTCATCCAACTAAGCATTCTCATCTCTGCTACACTTATTCTCTGCTCTACTTTCTTATCAACCGCCCAACACTATGAACCATACATCATAGCTGGCCTCACAATTTCATACTAAATTTAAAAACTATAATTAGTATTTATTCATATATTATATTTTAAAATCAAAGAACTACTAATCAGGATATAATTAAAGAAATAAGAGTTCATGTTGCTTTTAAAATATTTCACCAATTTCTCTAAAGGAAACACTATCTACAGATTTGCATCGAAGCGTTTCTTATGATAGTGATTTTAATCACTGTCAGATATTATCTATACTTGTCCCATCTATGCCTCGTCCACACTGTGCCTCGACCCCACTGTGCTACCGTTTTTTTATGTATTCAAATACTAATATCTCAAAAAGTTATAATACAAAACATGACGACCAGTCAACATTTTATTTTGATCATTCTGTACTTTATAGTAATGAAATAAAAATAGGTTCCCATTAAATTTTCTAATTAAATTAAAAGTCTACCCCTAGAGATAATTTTTTCTACAATGAACTTGACATTTATAATGGTTAATATAAAAATAAAATTTTATTCTACATAGTTTAATAAAAAAATCATTATTTAAAGATAAAATTAGGGAGAATACTTAATAAATCACACTGTATTTCCAGTGTTTTTTTTAAATTCAGTTATTATTATAAATATTTAATATTCTAGTATTAAAAATCTTTAATTAGAAAGGAGAAAAAGTGTCTATTTATAGTTTTGAAATATTAATAAATAATATTTTATAAACTTTATCATGAAGATTGAACTTGTCTATTCACTGAGTTTGTTAAGTGAAATTTAAATGTTTTAGTATCCAGTGATGAATGCAGATGTAACGGAGAAGAAGCCATAATTATGTTGAAGCCCTGTAACCATTTTATTTGTCATTCATGTTCAGTTAAAAATAGAATGAATCGATTAGATTGTCCAACGTGTAAGAAAAAAATCTATGAGTATATCGGAATGGGTATGTATAAGAAAATAAAGAAAACTTTAAAGATTATTTATGGGGTCAGAATAGTGGGTAAAAGTATGTGTTATAGCACAGTAGGTTCGTTAAATAGAAAGAAGTAAAACTGATCATTATAAAGGGGATTCGATAAAAATCGAACTCACTCCTGAATTGATTCTAAAACTTACTTCGATGTGCGAGCAGAACTAATTTTTTTTGAATCATCTTAAATAACTACTCGTCTTGGTATGTTTTCGTCAAAGCTTCAAGTGAATATTTGTTTATTGTGTTATGTCGAACATTACATGAATATTATTTTAAGATAATATGCATAGTAGTTAAAATGATCAAGTCGACACAACTCGTACACGTATATAATAAATAGTGTACAATAGTATAAATTTTATGACAAATATATATTAAATTATTTGTTTGTATACAAGTAATAAATTATAACATTTTTGTAATATGTGCAAAGCAAGCCAATTGTGTATACGAGATATTTCGAAACAATTAAGTAAAAAATTTAACAAACATTAATATTTTAATGGGATTTTGAAACATAATAATTGTAATATACAAGTATATAAATTATTTTGAAATTTAACAAGTTCACAATAAAGCATTTTTTATTACGGTGGTGTTAATCACTAACAGATGTCATATGCACTTGTCTCAACTATGCCGTTACCCAATGTGCTGATTATTTTCGTTTAATATTAGACGAGTTTTCAAATGGTGCGGTTGGGTAGACGAAAATAAGGAATCACTAATAAGGTAGCCGACACAGTAATCTTAGTACAGACAGTTGTAGTAGTACACATATAATAGTAACTCTATAGTACAGTGTTGGATGTTATTATTGTGGCATATCATGTCACAATATATGCGCTGAGGTGACCAAATAACTAGACCATAACAAAATAATACCGTAGAGTCGCATAGGGTACGCTGTTAAGTCGGAAAGAACGCAACGGTCGGGTCGATCGTTGCAACAAATCAGGAATCACTCGGCGGCGGCCTTGTCGCGGTGTCAAGGGCGGGACACGCACGATGACCACAGATTGTCATATGAATAGGTGGACGACTGACATCGAGAGGCACACGAGTGAGCGATCGCTTAAAGCAGGGCGGGATGCTGTGCCATATAGTGGCATACCTTTATTAGTTATGTATTTTAAAATTCTAGAGTTTTAAATAAATGTTATGTTTATTTGCAGATTTGTCTGAAGTGAAATTACCACAATGTAAGTAAATTATTTATAAAAAAAAAAACACCTTTTTTTTAATATGTGAATTTGAATTAAGAATTTAATAAAAAAAAATAATCACAAACACAACTTGCAAATCTTCATTTTTTTTTTTTTTATCAAAGTTGGTTGTTTAGTAACTATGATCTTTGCTTTTAATGATTTAAATATAAATACTTTTTAAATTAAAAAATTACATAATAGGGTAACTAGTCCAATTACAGAACACCTCCTATTAATTAAAAATCGTCTGAATTGACTGAAATTTTAGTAATTCTCTATCAACCAAATTAAATAATTTTGGATGAATTAATGACAAAATTTGAAACACTAATATATATTAGTTGATATTACTATATATACACTACGAGCAATCTAAACTACATTTAATTATAACGTCTTTTTAGTTTTTTTTAACTTAAATTTAATCTATAAGGTTAGTTTTTTTTTTAAATAACGCTAAAAATATCAAAATTTAATATTAGAAGAAATTATTATATTTTTATCCAGATATTAGAAGCTAATTATAATTTTCAATAATAAATATGTTATATAATTTTGAAGTTTAATAACTATATGTGTTACATTATGTATCAATAACCCTGTTTTCTACGTGAAATGAGACACTTCCTAATCAAAATTTTATGGATTCAGTTTTCATAGTTTAAATAATTGGTTTTTTTTACAGATTATCATTTTTGGGACTTGTGTTCGTTGATTGGTATAAAATCTTATCTCTCTCTCAAAAATGTCTTTTTCTTTCATGAATTATAATTATTTTAGATGAAAACAAGGAACCAGAAATATGTGAATCAATGTGTTTTGAGCTTCTGCTGAAACCTGTTCGTGAACTCCGTGAAGTTGTTTTACAGCTTATGTCTCTTAGACAATCTCTTCGTGAAAATTCAATATCTGACGAAATTCTCTTGTTGACATATTGTTATCTTGTGCCAGGTCAAGAACCAGATAAAGATCTAGTAAATGAATTTAAAACATTGAGAAATATTGATGACTTTCGTTTCAAAATTCAAGATATTCATCGACATGTGTTTAAGTTTAAAATTTAAAAATAATTTACCTTGGGAAACTATAAAACAAGTCCGAGCTAGAAATTGGGATTTTTATCCAAACGATTTTGAACAAGATATGTTGGCCAACTATTGGAAACGAAATAATCTACCTGTTGAAAATCTATTTACAGAACGCAATTACTTTTCTAACCGATTCAAATATTCAGATAGAATATTTGATAAAAAAATATAAAAATAGACGATATTTATTATTGCAATATTATTCTAGTTTATATATTTTTTTAATTATAAATATTATCGTTCAATCCTATAATTTTAATTATTATGAATAACAAGTTTTAAATATTAAAAAACCCAGCACAGGGGGGTCGCGGCACAGTGGTGACGTGGCATAGTTGGATCAAGTATAATGATATCTGACAGTGATTAAAATCACTATCAAAAATAAACGCTTCGATGCAAATCTTTAGATAGTGTTTAATTTTAAAAAAATTGGTGTTTTATTCCAAAAGCTACTTGATCTGCTGGTTCCTTATTAATATCTCGATTAAGATAAAGTATGTCGAATGAAAAAGGGTTTATTAAAAAATATTATTTCTCATAAAAAAATTGTGTGGATCCATAAACTTTTCAATAAGTTATAGCATAAAGTTAAATATAATATAAATAATAAAATCGAGAATTTTCACACGAAAATAGCATTCGGTAGCCATTTTCGCTATGAAGACAAGTCCAGAGGTCAAATTTTTTTTTTCAAATTAAAGTATATTACATTAGCTTTAATTTAAGATATATATAAAAA